CGATATCGCCTTTTTTAGGTCAGTTCTCAATGTTTTATAGGCTTCTTGGTGCGCTATAAAATTTTCGCGACCCCTTGCTCTTTGACATAGGCTTCGCGCATGTTTGCATTTTCTTCTCAGTTCGGAAATTTGGTCAGTCCACCAATACACATGTTGTCTGCCATTCCGCCGGCCTTTCTTTGCCATAGATGCGTTACATGAATTTGTTATGCAGCGCATCAGTTGTATTGCTTTATCATTCGCGCTGCCAGTTAGGTGGATGTCGTCTATTGAGAGCTTAAAAGCTTCTTTGTCCAAACTTACTCTTTCCATAACGGATTTGGAGTGGCTACCGCAGGAATGGTTCTTGCTGCGCGGTCATGTATTTCGAATATGATAGCTTGGTGGTCACTATGTGTGTAGATATCTGACACTTGCCACTCAGTTGAATTAGCTAGTGGATCGCTGATAAATGTCAAATCAATCTTAGAGCTTCTACCGTTCCTTGTGAATGTATCCTTTTGGCCGCAGTTCAGTAATACTACATCCAGGGTGGCCAATGCTTCTAGTAGGCACTCTCCCCTGGGGTTTGTCAATGTTGAGCCCCATTCAATGGCCCAGGCATTGAAGTCACCGGCAATCACTATCGGCTTCATATTTTTAGCGTCGCTAACAATATTGTCCAGTCTTTGTTTGTATTCTTCGATTGATAGACTGGGAGGTAAATAACAGCTGAAAAACGTTATTCCATTCACTGTACTTTTTACGTATGCTTCCCCTCCGTCGAAGACCTTCTCTAGTGGGAATTTACCACACGTCCATATCGATGCCTTGTTGCACTTGCTGGTAGCCCAGCAGTGATTGTCTAGTGTACTATAATGTTCGCTCATTATAGCTAGATCTATTTTTAATTCGCGTACAGTCTGCTTTAAAAGATCCTGTGCCGCTTCACAGTGGTTTAAGTTCAGCTGTAAAACTTTCATCTTTTTTTTATTTAGTATCCTCCGACGGGCAGTCAAGTAGTGGGGACATTTAGGTCCTCCCGTAATATGGTTAGCGTCAATATTTGTGTCAGTTCTACAAAGTAGGCAGTGAGGGGCACCTTGACACGCTTTAGCAAGGTGGTCCTCTCCACCACACTTGTAGCAGTGTTTAGACCAGTCTTTGGAGCTCTGACAGTTCCTTGCCACATGTCCAAAATCGAAGCATTTGTAACATCTCCTGGGGGTAACTTTTTGGAGTAATCGGCACACGGTCCATCCAACTCGTAGTTTGCCCACCTCCTCAGATTTACCGGCCTGCTTCTTTGGTATTACAATTATAGCCGTTCTGGTACCTCCAGGGGCATTTCTTATTGTTTTGATCGCCGAGGGATGTGTTTCGCCTATTTGGTTTTTCCATGCATTAATTATTTCTTCTTCTGTGGTTATTTCGTCCAGGTATCGTAGTTCAAAGGTAGCTTCTTCCGTTAGCGTTTTGACCTCTATTTCCTCAGGTAGTATACTTTTGATGTGGTCTTGGTGGACACTTGTTATTGTTTCTGCTGATCTTTTGAATTTAAGCAGAAGTTCGCCTTTTTGTGTTTTCCTGATAGAGTGAACATCATTACCGACTGCTTTAAGCTCTGGAGCTCCTTTTACTTTCCGGAGTATGTCCGCAAAGGAAAGTTTCTCAGACGGTTTAATAATCACTACATCCGGTCGAGGTGGTTTCACGCGTTTTTTTGTTTGTAAAACCCAAGCGTGTCGTTTGTTGTTGTCTTCAATTGGTGCTTGAGGTACATCAGCGTTGCCGTTCGTCCCGTCCACCGTATCTAAGTTGCTTTCCAATGCTTTCCTTGGCTCCTTAGACTTAGTATTATTTGCCCCCACAGGTCGATTTGTTTTCGTCTTCTTAGGCGGTGTCTTCCTACTTTTTTCGATTTCTTCTCTTAACCGTTTGGATATAACTGGTGTTTGCTGCTTCTGAATTGTTTGGGTACCTCTATCGTTGGTTTTAGCAGTGATAGTTTTATTTGGTGTCTCTTCGGCAGTTCTTTTATAGAGCGATGATATCATTGCAACAAGATCACGCATTGCTGGGTGGATGGACCTTCTTCCTCCGCCCATCATCTCATTTAGCTCGGATATTTTGTCCCCGAGTTTAATGAACGCTTCCCTTTTCACTTTTGGAACACTGTTCCCATTAAGCTCCTGAGGGGATGAGCGAGCTCTCTCGTTATTTTGCCTCTCTTGTGATAGCACAAGTGAGTGTGTTAGTCTCGCGCCCTCATGAAGGGGTTTTGGCTGGGACTGACTATCCGTGACTCCTTTGCACTTTCGGTGCCGGCTGGAGTATTAACGCCAGAGTGTATTGGTGTTTTTGTAGTTGTGAACATTTTTCTTTGCAATTGGGTCCCAACTTAAAGCCGTTATCTTGGTTTCGTTGTGTAGTTACCCTTATTGTGGTTCCATGATTATCTTTGCAATGCAGGGAGGTCATGCGAGGGTTGACACATAGCCTTATGAGCGCATGTGTTCAGAGCCAAACCGGGAGCTAAGCAGAAGATATTCTTAACTGCCCCTACACCCCAACTTAACAGGACGAATCCAAGATCGTTCTTTAAGGCTTGCCAGGTTTTAACGGGACGGAGGCAGATGAAGCATTAGCCTGAAAGCCGTCTGGACCAGATTTCACTCTAGCCCATATTGGTAACAGAATACATCATCCACCAGCCCAAGTCATCATATCCAATCGTTTGCTCCAGTATACCATAATCAGAATCTTACTGGTATCGATCCTGATGCCTTTTCTTATAGGCTTTCTCCATTATCATGTAATCATGTCCAATCGTTTGCTGTTGTCCAGTATGCCGTAATCAGAATCTTACTGGTATCGATCCTAATGCCTTTTCTTATAGGCTTCCTCCATTATCATCTCTCGTATGTGAATTGTGATGCGACAGTCGTCCCTAACATGATATACAGACGCTGCGCATTTCCAACTCCCTCGTTGGCGTATCAATTGCTCTCACATTGGAAACAGACATTGTGCGCTTACGTGTACCTCGATGCCATCCCGGGATGGTGGACGCTTAGTTAGAGCCGGCGTCTACTCGGCTCAGCTACGGGGCTTCTCAGGGTTTCTGTGACCTTTTAAGTCACACCCTCCGACGCCTAGCTGGATTTTAGCCGCCTCTTACGACAGGCATGCCTT